CCTTCTCTGTGTCTTCTGATGGGGGTCCTCTGTGTCTTCTCATGGGGGGTCCTTCTCTGTGTCTTCTCATGGGGGGTCCTTCTCTGTGTCTTCTCATGGGGGGTCCTTCTCTGGGTCTTCTGATGGGGGTCCTCTGTGTCTTCTCATGGGGGGTCCTTCTCTGTGTCTTCTCATGGGGGGTCCTTCTCTGGGTCTTCTCATGGGGGGTCCTTCTCTGTGTTTTCTAGGCTAGAGTCTAAGCTTTGCAGCCGCAGCTGCAGGGTCTCACGGCTTGACAGTCCTTTCAGGCGGTGAGCGCTTGTCCTACAGGCTGGTCCAAGGGTAAAGTCAGGAGAGGATGATTCATTTTCTATCCCAACCTCTTTGCCCAGGATCTTTTGTCTTTCTTCATATTCTCATTTTCACGTCCATGGCAGTTAGTACTTTCTCATTCCGCTACGCTATGCTGAGAGTCCACCGCAGCCAGCCCTGCCCATGCCGGATGTACCTGGGACTCTATCCTTGGGGATCCCTTCTCCCACCGGTTTTTCCCATTCCCACCCTCTCCTGCCAAGCTCATGCCTGCCCTGCTTCACTGTGCTATGGATGACATAATCCCTGACCTGTCACCAGCGGAGTCCTCTCAGGAAATAGCATTCCACGCAGAGGGCCTAACCAATCAAAAACAAGCACATCCTCACAGAGATGTGGGCAGGTTTCGGGGCACCAAAGCGGGCACGCTGATGTCCCCTCGAATGAGAACAGAATGCCTTGTCTGCCCTAGGCAGAGACACAGGGCATAGCTGGTCACCAGCTCCGAAGAAGGAGCAAATGAGCAATAGCTGCTCCAGCTTCTCTCCCCCTGCTGTGCCCGCTTGCCCAAATCCCTGGCCAGAGACAAGTACAACCAGGAGGGCACGCTTAACTGGCAGCATTGTGTGCCACAGTTACATAGTGGTGCCAAGGCAGAATGTGCAACCCTTCAGGCTCAATGTTAAGCCTGGGTGGATATGAGTGCATGTATGAGTGTGTGTGTGTGTGTGTGCATGCATGCACATATGTGTATGTCTGTGTGAGTGCATGTGTGTACATGCATGAGGGTGTGCATGAATGTGCGTGAGCATGTTTAAGTGTGTGAGTGTGCAAGAGAGTGTTTGTATGTGTGTGTGTATAAGTGTGTGAGTGCATGGACGTGTGTGAGTGTGCTTGTATGTGGATGTGAATGTGCATGTGTGTACATTACCATGTGAGTGTGCATGAGTGTGTTTGTATGAGTGTGTGTGTATATGAGTGTGAGTGTATAAGTGTGTGAGTTCATGGACTGTGTGAGTGTGCATGTGTGTATGAGTGTGTACATTACTGTGTGGATCTGCATGAGTGTGTATGTAAGTATGTGTGTGCACATGCGTGCGGTGGGGGTGTGGTTAAGTCAGATCTCTGGAAATCAGGCCTTCTAAATAATTAATCCTCATTCCCTGCTCCTGTGAGTAGTTGGGAAATGCTCATCAGACCAGATTAATGCGTTGAGCCTCCTTCCCTCTCCACCCCCATTCTATTCTGACTAGATTTGAAGTGTGCAGAGAGGCCAGGGTGTTCTGTTGATCTGAGTCACTGGACAGTCTCTGGAACATCTTTCTGTTTTGTTTCCGCAGCAGACCTCAGAGACAGAGAAGAGGAGCACTCGATGATGCCCCCAAGCAAGGCAGGTATGGCCCATGGTAACAGCGAGCCCCACAACTACCGTGATTTTCAGCCCTACCCCACGAGGACCAGGAAGAAGCTGGTTTTTCTGGTCCAGGTCCCAGCTCCTTCCTCTGCTCGGCGAGTGCACTAGTTTCCCACGTATCTGGTTCTACCTGCACACCCCACGGTCCGCTCAAAGCCTTCCTTCCGTCAGGAAAACAGCTTTCAAGGAATAAACTGGTCGCTCAATGGTCTAAAGGTTCCGAAGGGAGGAAAGAGCCCTGTTTCCTGACCTTGGCTTCGTGTTTTCTCCTGAACCCCAGAGGGTCCTTTCAGGGAAGAAGATAGTTAGGGTCGAGAATTGCATGTGCGCAGAGCAAGCCCCTGGAAGGCGGGAGACAAGCGGCGCTAACACACCTGAGCCAGCCACGGGGAGGGTAATGCGCCTGAGCAGGGCCTCAGGTGTCCCCTCCTGTCTTCCAGCAGCCTCTGTCCAGAGCCCTGCATCAGACACACGAGGGCCCGTGAGGTTCGGGAATCTAGGTTCCAGTGAGACTCCTATCGAGCATGGGAACATCTGGACTAGGGGAAGGACATATGGGGAGGTCTCCCGGAGAGGACAGGACCTGGCATCAGCATCTGGAGCTGGAAAGGGGGTCAATTATTTATGAGGATTATGCTGGTGGGTAATGAAGAATTCCAAGTATCCCTTACTGTAGCGACAGAGGACCCGGACCAGCTCATATGTTTGCTGTGGGAGGACAGGTCACATGAGCACTATGCAGTAGAATGAGGAACAAGGGGGGCACCCATGTGGGAAAATCCAAGGCATGTTATTAAACGAGGGAGAAGCAAGATAAATAAGCATTAATGTAACATTAACTACACAAGGAGAGAAAGTAATACTATATATTAGTACTTCCATAGTTCTGTAGCAAACTCTGCCTAGACAAGGAAGCAAATAAGACAAGTATCTGTGGGTGAGGTCAGTAGAATTAACTGCACATTTAATTTTTAAAAAATATTTTATGTGTATGGGTGTTTTGCCTGAATTTATGTCTGTGCACCATGTGTGCATAGTTCCTGTGGAGGCCAGAAGAGGGTGTCAGATCTCCAGCACTGGAGTTTTATGAGCTGTCATGTGGGTGCTGGGAATAGAACCTGGGTCCTTTGGAAGAGCAGCCAGTGCTCTTTACTGCTGAGTCATCTCGCATCTCTCCAGAGAGAGAGAGAGAGAGAGAGAGAGAGAGAGAGAGAGAGAGAGAGAGAGAGAGAGGCACTGAAAACACATCATTCACACATTTAGGAACAAACAGATAACAAGACAAGAATAGGTAAAAGTGTCCCTACAAGCAATTCAGAAGCACTTTTCCTAGAAACACGATGGCAGGGTGTTCACCCTCCACGGAAGGCCCACAGACGTCCAGGATGTGAGGCTCAGCCGCACACATTTGCTTCTCCTGCAGTCAGAGTTCTCTCAATGTCTCAGGCAGTCTGAAGGGGTCTGGTTTACCATTCAGATTGGTTCTGGCAGGTGTCAGCTTTGGTGATGGGTTAAAGTGCTGAGTTCTTGTCCCTGTCAGTTCCAGCAAGAGAACCCAAGGCTGTTCCTCTGCAGGCAAGCATTCCACCACTGAGCTTCGCCCCAGCCTTGGAAAATTTTTTTTTTTTAAAAAATACCAGTTTCCAGTCCCTTAAATTAAAAAACAAAAAACAAAAAACAAAAAACACCAATTCCCAGATTATAATCAGGATGTCAGAGGCAGGGTCTGGCATTGCTATTCGAGAAGCCCCTCCATGTGACCGGGGGCGGGGGTCATAATCTTGGAACTTCCAGGGCAGTTTTTTTTTTATCCAGAAAGTTGGAAGAAGGGAGGTGGGAGGCTTAGAAGAAAAAGCACACCCTATGAAACCTGCCAAGAACAGGAAGACACAGATGGCTATGACTCTGACCAGCCTTGGTTAGGACATTTCATCAGTCTGCTTTTCCTTCTGTGGCAGCCCAATTCTGAAACGAAGCTCCGACATAACCAAGTCGCCTCTCACCAAGTCAGAGCAGCTGCTGAGGATAGATGACCATGACTTCAGTATGAGGCCTGGCTTCGGAGGTACGGGGTGTACTCTCGAGGGTGGGGCTTTCCTTGTTTTCCGGGGCTCTTGTCTGCACCCAGATCTGTTTATCATGTCTGCCTGGGCTGAACTTGGCGGGTTGCACCTTCTGAGCATCTGTCCTTCGTATCCCTGGCTCTGTCGGGCACTGCCAAAGTACCAGCTGCTAGCTGTCCCAGGGCTATGCTGTGAGAAGGCTCACTGAGGTCAGTGAGACAGAGGCTGCCGCCAGAAGGCAGGGCACACGTACCCGGGGCTGCCTCCTGAGGATGCTCTGAAATCCCATGCAGCAACCTTGTGCTGGATTGGTTCTCCCTGGGTGCTGGCAGATGAGTTTCACTGACATGTCAGGGTCCTGACGGCTGGGCTTAATGAAATGAAAACAGCTTGAGAAAGTAAGGATTCCCTGCAGAACCGGAATCTGGGGCTCAATAGGTGCCAGGTTTCAGCCCTCTGTCCAAAGAGTCAGAGTCAGTCTCTCTCTCTCTCTCCCCCTCCTCCTCCCCCCCTCTCCCCCCCCTCCCCGCCCCTCTTCTCTCTCTCTCTCTCTTTCCCCCTCTCTCTCCCCCTCCCTGTCCCCTCTCCCTCTCTATCCCTCTGTGTGTGTGTGTGTGTGTGTGTGTGTGTGTATGTGTGTGTGTTTAACATTTATTTATTTGTTTATTGGATGGTGTGGTGTGCACATCACAAAATGTATGGCTATCAGGGGCCAACTTATGGAAGTTGGTTCTTTCTGCCATGTGGGTTCTGGGAACTCAGCTTAGGGGCCGCAGGTTTGGCAGTGAGTAGCCCCACCTGCTGAACCATCTCACTGACCTAGGTTTAGTTTCTTTCTGGAGAAAAATATACTCTATGCCTGTGGGTATGTGTTCACGTGTATGCAGATACATGTATGTAGGCATGGGTGTGGATGTCTGCAGAGACCAGAGCACAGCTCTCTGTGCTTGCCATCCTCAGGAACGCTGTCTACCTCCTTTGAGACACATTCTCACTGTTCCGGAGCTCACAAATTAGGCTAGACTGGCTGACCTGTAGCCCCAGGAATCCTCCTGCCTCTGCCTCCCCAGCACTGGAGTACATAACACCTCATCTAGTATTTCTACATGGGTTCCGGGGGGTCGGTCAAACTTAGGTCCTCATGCTGACCAGGCCAGAAGTGTTTGCTAACTGAGCCATCCCTCCAGCCCCTAGAAATCATTTTCATGCCTTTTGTTTTTTTTCCAGTCATGTTTGCTCCACCCCAATCCCCACTTTCCCCCCCGCAAACCAATCCCCCAAGTTCTAGAAAGGTCTTTATTCTTTGCCATAGGTAAGCTATTGGATCCAACGCCAACTCTTTGTGTCATGGTTAGCTGAAACAAAACATGCCCTGTACCTAGCCCAGATAAGAGCAAGCGAGCTCTTATTCTCTGTCAAGACTAAGTTTTAATGGCCTGGAAATAACAACTAAACATGTAATGTTCTGATTTAAAACATGACATATCTTTCCTGGAAGTTTCTTCAACATGTAACAAAGATATAGATCTATGGCCAGAACACATGATCTGAATATGAGCAATTCTGGTGCCAGCACCAAGAAATGGGGTTCTCATGGCTAAGTGGGAGCCAAAGGCTCACGAGAGGGAAGTGAGAAAGGAAAGGAAAATCTCAATAGGTACTTTCATGCTAGGGAGCATGCTGGCTGTTCCTTAGATGGGACCCTGACTCAACCCAGGTCTTTAGCACAGCTTCAGATGAACATGTGGAACCAGAGGGGGATAGTCTGTACTGATTGTGTCATTCTGGGGCTGGAGAGATGGCTCAGTAGTTAAGAACACTGGCTGCTCTTCCAGGGGACCTGGGTTCGATTCCTAGAGCCACAGGGACGATTATTATGGTGTGTACATTTGCTTCTAGGGGATCCAATGCTTTCTCTGACTTCCATGGGCACTAGGCATGCCTGCAGGCAAAACACTGTACACCTAAAATAAAAATCATCTAACTTCATCATTCCACAGAGGGCAAACACTTTATTACTTTTTGGGGTGTGTGTGTGTGTGTGGAGGGATAATCCAAGAAGCCAAGCCATGAACCTGCACTCTTACTTGTTATTTGACTGCAGGTGGGTATGAGCAAACCTTCAAGTGTTTGTCTCTGGCATGATTGACACATCATTGCGGGCCTCTTCTGTGGTAGAAGTTCAAGCAAAAAGAGAATGGTCAGCTGGATGTGTTGGCGTATTCCTATAATCCTAGCACTTTGGAAACTGAGGCAGGAGGATTGAGAGCCTGAGATTAGCCTGGGCTACATAGCAAGGCTTTGTCAGGAAAAAAAAAAGAAGAGGAAAAAGACAGAAAAGGAAGGAGGGAAGGAGGGAGGGGGAAAAGAAAGAACAGAGAGAATAAAAGAGAGTGGCCCTGTCTTGCCCTCCCCAGGCCCGGCCATCCCCGTGGGTGTGGATGTGCAGGTGGAGAGCCTGGACAGCATCTCGGAGGTGGACATGGTGAGTACTTCTCTGATCGGGGCTGGGGCAGTGGGAGCCCATGTGGACCTGTCTGGGCAGAAGCGCTACACCACTGAACTCCCTCATCACTCGTAATTCCTTGGCAGATGGAAGCTGTCACACGCACTTAGCAGATGACTCACAGACATCATGTCATGTCAGAGTTCCCGGTTGGTCTGAGATAGAGTCAGGTGACAAACTTGGTCTTTATCCTCCAGCACAGATGCCTTCTGAGATGCAGGCCCCCTGTATTTCTGCAGAGTCTGTATCTTGCTCTAGAAGCCTGGAACCGTGGGATTATTCCTTTTTGCTTATCAGTGGATTCCAATTTAAAAAAAAAAAATGTTGCCAGCGAGGCATGGTAGTGCAAGTCTTCAACACCCAAGAGGTAGAGGAAGGCTTATCTTGGGTTTGAGACCAGCCTGGTCTTCTATATAGGAAGCTCCATACCAGCCTGGGATACACAGTGAAACCCCATCTTCAAAATTTTAAAGGTGACACCGGCTGGGGTCGGGAAGCATTCTACAAGTTAGAGGACTTTTTACAAGTCTACCTTGGTTTGGAGCCTCCACGAAGCAGGCCAGAAAGAAGTATCCTAACCCAGTGTGTACTTGGGGACTCCTCCCAGAAAAAAACGCCAAACAGAATGAGAAAGGGAGACAGGGAAGTCAGCAAAGAGCAGGGTTTTCAGGCAAGCCGCGCCTACAGCCCTCCTCCCATCCCGTTCTCCAGGAGGCAGTGAAGTGCACAGCTCAGATCAGCCCTGCCCACTGATCTGACCCGGGCACTTTCAGCCTGAGTCGCTGGTGTCAGCAGGACAGTTGTCATGAAGACCGTGTCTGTCCTGGGTGGGTGGAGCTCAGGGGCTGTCTGTTCTAGGCCTCTTCCTGGGTTCCCCTTTGCCTTCTCCAGGGGCAATGCTCAGCCCGCTGGCTTCAATGACATTCCCCACTGCCGATGTTCCCACAGTGAGTGGGTGTGTTTCTGCTCTGCCTCCCACCCGCAGGACTTCACCATGACCCTCTATCTGAGGCACTACTGGAAGGACGAGAGGCTGTCTTTTCCAAGCACGAACAACCTGAGCATGACATTTGATGGCCGGCTCGTAAAGAAGATCTGGGTCCCTGACATGTTCTTCGTGCACTCCAAACGCTCCTTTATCCATGACACCACCACAGACAACGTCATGCTGCGGGTCCAACCCGATGGGAAAGTGCTGTACAGCCTCAGGTGGGAACAGAGGCAGGCTAGTGCTGAGAGCTTCGGCCTTAGCTGAATATTTTAACTTCTAAAAGTTTAATTAGTTAAATTTTGTATTATGCATATGGTGTTTTTGGTTGCATGTGTGCCTGTACACCACGTGTGTGCCTGTGAAGGCCAGAAGAGGATGCCAGATCCCCTAGGCCTGGAATTACAGACCGTTGTGAGTCATCATGTGGATGCTGGGAATCAAATTCAGGTCCTCTGCAAGAGTAGCCAGTATTTGTAACCACTGAGCCATCTTTATAGTCTGAAAGTTAACTATTTAAAAAAAAGGTTATTTTTCTAGTAAGAGTCAGGGAAATAAAATAAATAAATAGACGTGTTCTCTGACACACATCTTCCTCCGAGTCTGGAGTGTGTATAAATATCTGCCTCTCTCTTCCCTTTCAACCTTCCCATGGTCCCCATGCTCCCAATTTACTCAGGAGATCTTGTCTTTTTCTACTTCCTATGTAGATTAGATCCATGTATGTTTCTCTTAGGGTCCTCTTTGTTGTCTAGGTTCTCTGGAATTGTGATTTATAGGCTGGTTTTTCTTTGCTTTATGTCTAAAAACCACTTATGAGTGAGTACATATGATAATTGTCTTTCTGGGTCTGGGTTACCTAACTCAATATGATGTTTTCTAGATCCATCCATTTGCCTGCAAATTTCAAGATGTCATTATTTTTTTTCTGCTGTGCAGTATTCCATTGTGTAAATGTATCACATTTTTCTTATCCATTCTTTGGTCGAGGGGCATTTAGGTTGTTTCCAGGTTCTGACTATGACAAACAATGCTGCTATAAACATAGTTGAGCACATGTCCTTGTGGCATGGTTGAGTATCCTTTGGGTATATATCCAAAAGTGGTATTACTGGGTCTTGAGGAAGGTTATTTCCTAATTTTCTGAGAAATTGCCACACTGATATCAGTCCAAAGGGGCTGTACCAGCTTGCATTCCCACCAGCAATGCAGAAGTGTTCCCTTTTCCCCACAACCTCTCCAACATAAGTTGTCATCAGTGTTTTTGATCTTGGCCATTCTTTCAGGTGTAAGATGGAATCTCAGAGTTGTTTTGATTTGCATTTCTCTGATGACTAAGGATGTTGAACATTTCCTTAAGTGTCTTTCAGCCATTTCAGATTCCTCTGTTGAGAGGTCTCTGTTTAGGTCTGTACTCCATTTTTTTTATTGGATTATGTGATCTTTTGGTGTCCAATTTCTTGAGTTCTTTGTATATTTTGGAGATCAGACCTCTGTCTGATGTGGGGTTGGTGAATATCTTTTTCCATTCTATAGGCTGTCATTTTGTCTTGTTGACCGTGTCCTTTGCTTTACAGAAGATTTTCAGATTAAGGCGGTCCCATTTATTAATTGTTTCTCTCAGTGTCTGTGCTGCTGGGATTATATTTAGGAAGTGGTTCCCTGTGTCAATGCGTTCAAATGTACTTCCCACTTTCTCTTCTATGAGGTTCAGTGTGGCTGGCTTTATGTTGAGGTCTTTGATCCATTTGGACTTGAGTTTTGTGCATGGTAATAGATATGGATCTATTTTCATTCTTCTACATGTTGATATCCAGTTATGTCAGCACCATTTGTTAAATATTCTTTCTTTTTTCCATTTGATATTTTTTGCTTCTTTGTCAAAAATTAGGTGTTCAAAGGTGTGTAGGTTAATATCTGGATCTTTGATTTGGTTCCATTGGTCCTCTTTGTTTTTATGCCAATACCAGGATGTTTTCAGTACTGTAGCTCTGTAGTAGAGTTTGAAGTCAGGGATTGTGATGCCTCCAGAAGTTCTTTGATTGAACAGGAATTTTTTTTGTCTAAGTTGGGTTTTTTGCTTTTCCAAATGAAGTTGAGTACCATTCTTTCGAGGTCTGTGAAGAATTTTGTTGGGATTTTGATGGGCATTGCATTGAATCTGTAGATTGCTTTTGGTAAGATTGCCATTTTTACTATGTTAATTCTACCTACCCAAGAGCATGAGAGATCTTTCCACTTTCTGGTGTTTTCTTCAATTTCTCTCTTCAAAGATTTAAAGTTCTTGTCATACAAGTCTTCCACTTGTTTGGTTAGAGTTACTATGAGATATTTTATGCTATTTGAGACTATTGTTAAGGGTGATGTTTCTCTGATTTCTTTCTCAGCCCATTTATCATCTGTGTACAGGAGGGTTACTGTTTTTTTGTTTTGTTTTGTTTAGTAATCTTGTATCCTGCTACATTACTGAAAGTGTTTATGAATTGTAGACGTTCCTTGGTAGAATTTTTGGGGTTGCTTATGTAAACTATCATTAGCAAACAGTGAGAGTTTGACTTCTTTTTAAATTTGTATCCCCTTGATCTCCTTTTGTTGTCTTATTGCTCTAGGTAGGACCTCAAGAACAACATTGAATAGATATGGAGAGAGTGGACAACCTTGTCTTGTTCTTGATTTCAGTGGGATCACTGGGAGTTTCTCTCCATTTAGTTTGATGTTGGCTGTTGGCTTGCTGTATATTGCCTTTATTATGTTTAGGTATGTTCCTTGTATCCCTGCTCTTTCCAAGACCTTTATCATGAAGGGATGCTGTATTTTGTCGAAAGATTTTTCAGCATCTAGTGAGATGATCATGTGGTTTTTATTTTTCAGTTTGTTTATATGGTGGATTATGTTGACAGATGTTCGTATGTTGAACCATCCCTGAATCTTTGGAATGAAGCCTACTTGATCATTGTGGATGATGGTTCTGATGTGTTCTTGAATTTGATTTGCCAGTATTATATTTAGTATTTTTGCATCAATGTTCATGAGTGAGATTGGTCTGTAATTCTCTTTCTTAGTAATGTCTTTTTGTGGTTTGGGTATCAGGGTAATTGTTGCCTCATAAAAAGAGTTTGGCAATGTTCCTTCTGTTTCTATTGTGTGGAACAATTTGAGGAGTGCTGGTATTAGTTCTTCTTTGAAAATCTTGTAGAATTCTGAGCTGAAACCATCTGGTCTTGGGCTTTTTTTTTTTTTTTTTTTTTTT